CAAAAAGTACTTTAATGCTAAGTTGAAACATGTTTTAATGTGCTTGTCAGATGTCATGATACATAAATATAAGTAGGCAGAAGCTAAAAGAAAGAAATCAAAACTAGGTAGATCATTTCCTTTTGAATCATTTCCAGTACAAGTGTCCTACAAACAGTACAGAAAAAGTCAGTAGAGGAACATCATCCATCAAACATAAAGCCAATTTCTACCTTCAGATGAACTCATAATAAAATCACCATTTACAAGTAACCAAGCTTCCTCAAAAAATTAAAAATTACTATATAACCCAGAAATCCCACTTCTAGGTATATACCCACAAGTATTGAAAGCAATGACTCAGATATTTATACACCAATATTCACAGCAGAATTATTCACTAGTGGCCCAGTGCATGAAATTCATGCACTCGGGGCAGAGGGGGAGGGTCCCCCAGCCTGGCCTGTGCCCTATCACAGTGCGGGAGTCCCAAAGAGGTAGGCCCCACCCACCCATCCAGGGCTCCTCGATGGATTGCCCCAGAGGTAAGCCAGAGCAGGGGGAGGCCTGTGGACCCCCAGGCCAGGCCTACAGCAGAGGGGCCTCTCCACGCACCTGCCCCCATCCCCAACACTGCAAGTCCCCGCCCACCCACGCCTGCTGTGAATGCAGCCTGCTGACCAATCATTACTGTGACAGCGTCCTGACCAATTTGCATATTACCCTATTATTAGTATAGATAGCCAAAAGGTGGAAACAACCCAAGTGTTTATTGATGAATGGATCAATGAAGTATGGTATGCACATACAGTGGAATAGTATGCAGTCCTAAAAAGAAATGAAATTCTGACACAGGCTAAAACACTGGTGAACCTCGGAGACACTGTGCTAAATAAGCCAGACACAAATGGACAAATACTATGATTCCAAGTATACAAAGTATGCAGAGTAGTTATATTAACAGAGACAGAAAGTAGAATGATGGTTGCCAAGGACTCAGAGAAGAAAGAATTAGGGAGTTATTAATAGGTAAAGAGTTTTGGTTTGAGAAGATAAAAATATCTAGAGGTTGATGGTGGTGATGCTTACACAGCAATGTGAACATACTTAATGCCACTGAACTGTACACTTAAAAATGGTTTAAAGGGTAACTTTTGTTATGTATATTTTACCACAATTTTTTTAAAGTAACCAAGCAAGAACATGATTAAACTATTGTGGCAAAAATATATCAGGAGTGATAAAAGTCTGTAACAGGCATGCTTCACTGTCATCCTGCAGAGCCTAGATGACTTACCTGAAAGTCAAGATCTCAAAATAGAGACGGACATACCATTTTCATGTTGCAACAGATATATAATTATACTAGAGGCCCAGAGCACGAATTCATGCACCTTGAAAGGAAATGTGGGCGGCGAAGCTGCAGTGGGCACAGGGACAAGTCTCAGCCCATCCTCCATGACCCCGCCTGGCCTCTCCCACCACGGCCCCCCTCTCCTGTCTGCTGGCAGCCCCGCTCCTGCACTGCTGCTCCCATGCGCTGATGGTGCCAGCCCCACTCAGCTGACAGCACGGAGCGATTAGGGCTGATGCCAGCAGCGGATGCAAGCAGGGCCGGCACCATCAACAGGTGCAAGCGGCGGCTGCTGCCCCGATTGCCCCTCAGGAGCAGGGGAAGGTGGAGAAGCCCTCAGGGGCAATCGGGGCCGGCAGCCACCGCTTGCACCTGCTGATGGTGCTGAGCGATTGGGACCGGGGCCGGCACCGGCAGCAGGTGTGAGCAGGGCCGTCGCCAGAAACAGGTGCAAGAGGTAGATGCTGGCCCTGATCGCCCCTCAGGAGCAGGGGGAGTTGGAAAAGCCCTGAGGAGAGATCAGGGCCAGCAGCTGCCCCTCACACCCACTGATGGTGCCAAGCGGTCGGGGCTGGCTGGCGCCGGCATCGGGTGCAAGTGGGGCCAACACCAGCAGCAGATGCAAGTGCCAGACAGGACCACAGCACACTGGAGCAAAGAATTTTCAGTAACCACCAGAGGCTCGCCCGATGACAGTGACAGGGCCCAGCCTTGGTCTGGCACTCCTCCCTACCCCCCACCCCCCCCTCGTTCACCTGTTTCACCATCACACCCCAGCTGATGCTCGCCATGTTCCATGCTCTGCTGCCTGCTGCTGACACCCGCCATGTTCCAAGTGCACTCCCTGGTGGTCAACGCACATCATAGCAACCAGTTGTTCAATTGTTCTACCATTCAGTCTATTTGCATATTAGGATTTTATATATATAGATACCAAGCAACTGAAGAAACTGAACTATATTCTACAAGAAGTCATCTGTTAAATAAATGAATGGGCTCCCCTTCCCAACAATTAAATAAGAAAAATAAAATAAAAAAACTTTTCCTTCCAGTCTCCAGTGAAAGCAGCAAGATTAAAAAATCAGTTCTACTTCTTCTATCAAAGAAGCATAGTGGATCCTAGAGAGTAACTGTTAAATTCCCAATTTTAACATGGTGGCTCTATAGTGAAAAACTGCAAACAGCAATCCTCCTATATAATAAAGAGGTAATATGCAAATTGACCATCACACCCTCACACAAGATGGCCACCCCTATGTGGTCACAACATGGCCATCACAAGATGGCCGGCAGGGGAGGGCAGTTGTAGGCGATCAGGCCAGCAGGGAAGGGCAATTGGGGGTGACCGGGTTGGCAGGGGAGGGCAGTTGGGGGCAACCGGGCTGGCAGGGAAGAGCAGTTGGGGGTGACTAGGCCGGCAGGGGAGCGGTTAGGGGGTGATCAGGCTGGCAGGTAGAAGCAGATAAGGGGCAAGCAGGCAGGCAGACAGGTGAGTGGTTGGGAGCCAGCAGTCCAGAATTGTGAGAGGGATGTCCGACTGCCGGCAGTCGGAAATCCCCCGAGGGGTCCCAGATTGGAGAGGGTGCAGGCTGGGCAGAGGGACACCCACTGCCAGTGCATGAATTTTATGCACCAGGCCTCTAGTATGTAATAAAGAGGTAATATGCAAATGGTTGTTACACCATGATGGTAACGACCGATCAGCAGGAGGGCAGGGCAGCAAACTGCAGTGTGGGGAAGAGCTACAAGCAGCAGTGGGTGGGGCGGCCAGCTGAGACAAGCTGCAGAGAGCAACTTGCTCACGAATTCATGTGTAGGGACACTAGTTTAAAATAATAACAACAATAAATAGTACATACAAACATCCTTCACTGCTTTATTAACTGACTTTGCACAAGTTACTTAACCTTTCTGAATCTCATCTGAAAAATGGGGATAATGCTTATAACTATCTTATTATGATTGATTGGAGATCTTATAAGTAATATATATAAAACACACTGAGATCAATGCCTAGACTACAGAAATGCTCAACAAATAATTCCCTCCTGCCATTCAATAGTACCTGTAGCCCTTTGCTACTCCTGGATCAGCCTCCAGGGGCTATGCTGATGTTTTGGCCAGTAACCTCAGGCCCCAGCTGTTTCTCTCAGTTCTAGTTGTTTCACTAGGGGTTTCTAAGAGGAGTCTATCTATATTTAGAGATAATGCTAGTACCAACTGTGGACTCAACAGGTGCTTGGAGGGCACTTGAATACTCAGCAGTTTTCCATTGTTTTCCTGTGTGAACTAGTTTTGATTCCACAATTGGCTGTCTTGACTTCTACAAGGAAGAGTGACATGTATGCACAGCATGCTGGCAGTACACTAAACAGAAAATTAAGTGTGCTCACAGGACAAACCTTAGTAAGATGTGTTAGCACTATTATCAGGACCCCAGATTTAGTAAATTACAGGAGGAGTAAACACTCAATTAACTCTAGAGATGTAGCCCACTAACCCACTCTTCATCTAAATAATTAATATTATACCAGATCCAAGTTGCAACCAATTCATGCTGCTTGTACTACAACCAAAACCAGAGGATGGAGAAGGCAGGAAGAATCATTAGACAGTGAAGATTGATTGATAGATTGATTTATAATAGATTTTTATTGATTTCAGAGAGGGAGAGAGAGATAGAAACATCAATGATGAGAGAGAATCATTGATCAGCTGTCTCCTGCACGCCCCCCACTGGGGATCAAGCCCCAAACCCGGGCATGTGCCCTTGACCAGAATCAAACCTGGGACCCTTCAGTCCACAGGCCAAGGCTCTATTCACTGAGCCAAACCAGCTAGGGCCAGACAGTGAAAATTTAAAGAAGATATCCAAAAGAGCTGGATCTGAATTCAGCTTTATTTACTAGCTCTGTGACCTCAATGAATTATTTCACCTCTTAATTTATAAAATAGGAAATAATTGTGAGGATTCAATTAAATGAGATAATGTACGCAAAACAATCTTAGCACCTTGCCTAGCCCACTGAAAGAGGTCAATAAAAAGCCATATTATCATTAATGAGGACACTGCACTCACTCCTTGCTTTGTCCAGTTTTTATAACATATAAGTAAAGTGACAATTTACATAATTATTTTTGGACCTTTATAAAGTGGCCTAATGCTACTATACAAGATCTAGCTGAGAAATAAATACAAACTGATGAATTCCCAGAAATCTTAAATGAGTCAGCAAAACTTAATGCCCAACAAATAAAAAGCTTACCGTGGACTATTTATGAACACAGGAAGGTAACTACAGTTTCAAAACCAACAATCTTGTACCTAATACCATTCATTCAAAATTTAGTCTGGAAATCCAAGCTATCAGAAATACTTCCCACCCCCCACGATATTTTCAAATAAGGTGATTTTCAAATCACCTTCATTCAAACTGGGAAATATGAGGCAGCCTGATCATTTGCAATCAGCATCAAGATTTTGAGGCAGCCACGCTCTCTCACGAACATAAACCCAGTAGCAGATGGTACCTGAACATTTCTCAGTGAGAAAATGCAATTCTAATAAAGTACAGATAACTTCGATTTTATTCATCACCTTTTGGTCTAAATGAAAACAAACTCTTGGTTCTCCCTCAAACACCATGAACTCTGCATTATCACTGACCTGACTCAAAAGCAAGATAGCCGCCTGTTTCTGGAGACCCGTCCTCTCCTGCTTCATTAACCACAGGTAAAATACGTACTGCAACCTGAGCAGAGGAGACACCATTATTACAGGTATGCTTTATCAATGAAACGGACTATACATGACAACCAAATTACTAAAAGAGCAGCTTGTACTCCTTAGCAGAGGGACAAGCCTGGGACAGATCCACCTTCTAAAATAACCCAATCACCCTGGATGAATTAGGAGAACTCGGTCCACCTACCCTACACTCTCTAACTAGATCTACCCTCTGCTTTAATTCAAGCCCAAAGCACATCTATTTCATTCCTCTGCCCCACTTCGCATAATTTTCCGTTCTCTTCCACCATCCCAATTCCAAGAATGCTCTTTTATCTCCCCTCGATTCCAAAAATGCTCTTCTCTTATTTTCAAATCCCACTTTGCCCCAAATCTTAAGGACCTCCGGCACCCACGCAGATGACCTTACGCATTCCCACTGCATTCCCAATCCATTGTACTTCCACTTCCAAATAACCCCCCTTTTTTTCTTCTTCATTATTTTCCATCTCTCCTTGTTTCTTAAAATCCAATACCCCACACACGGTTACACCAGAGAACCCCCTCACTCCATTGTTCCCCCGGCCTCTGCCTCTGGAAACACCCCAAGTCGGACCGGTGTGCTTGGGCCCGCCCCGCTGACCCCAGACACCTTCCACCATCTGGGCACCCCAAGTCCCAGGGGGCTCACTTCCCCGTCCCCTCCGTACCCAGCCCCCAACAACTACTCTTTCCCGGTGCCCTCCCTCAAGCCGCTCTCAGTTCCTCCGCGCTCCCTTCATCCCTCACCAAGCCCCCCTCCGCACCGAGCACGCTCAGCCTCACCGACGCCGGGTCCCCGCAGTCGCCGTGTCCCCCCAGTTCCGGGCTCCGTGTCCGGGACGCTCCGGGGTCTGAGAAGAGGTAAGCAGCTCCGCCGCCTCCTTCGCCTCTTCCAGAGCCGCCGCCGCCGCCGCGCTCCTCCCCCAACTCTTCCCGAGCGGGACGCCGCCCCGCCCCCTCCCGCCCCTTTCTCCGCTTCCCTCCTCGGCCGGCCCGCGGGCTGGGAATCGCAGTGGCGGCGAGTGGCCCGCGCGCCTGCGGATCCACACCGACCTCGCCCGGGCTCGAGCTGCGCGCCCCGCCCGGAAGCCCGCTCGGGCGCGTGCGCGTGCGCGCCAGCCAGCCAGCGCGCAGGGCGCGTGCTCGCGCCGGCGCGAACCCGGCGAGCGAGGGGAGAGGCGGCGGGATCGAGGCGGGCTTCGGCCGGTCGGGTTACCGTTACCGTCAGGGCCGAGTCCCTCGCGCCTGAGTTGAAGGGGCTCGGGCGTCGCCAGGGATTGGGATTACGGGGAAGGGAACGGGCTGGAGGAGCAGGTCGGGAACAACCTAGGTAGAAGCGGGGACGGGTGGGACCCGAGCTGCGTCCGCAAGCAGAACGGCCGGGGCCAGGAGAGAGCGGGCGGCGCGGGGGTGGGGGTCGCGCGCTGGGAGTGCAGCCCGAGCTGGAAATGCCGGAAAGAGCCGAAACTCTCCCGGAGGCGGCCGAAGGCGGGCGCCTCGAGGGGCACCGCGCGAGGGTTTTCCTCTCTAGGTCCTGGCCCGCACTTGATCTCTCAGGCCGCCCTCCCTTTCGCCTCTCACGTCTCCGCCCCGAGAATTTTCACCACTTTCCTCTTCGCCTCCTTCCAGACCCAAATTTTTACAACAAAAGGTCGTTTAAAAGCCACCAGCGGCGGGAAACCCGGAGGTCCGGACTTGGTGGCAGCTCAGCCTCCTGGGAGGCCGGTGGGGGTGGGACGGGGTGGAGGCGCTGGCCGGGCCTGGAGCGGGGAGACGTCCCGAACGAGCTGGAGGTTCTCTGCCCGGGCCACATGCCCTCCACGCGCTGCCCAGTACATTGCCGAGTTGGTTTTCCGACCTCAGCTGTCCATCCCTCTCGGCGGCTGCGGCCAGTCTCACCGCCCGTCGAATTTCTGTTAAATAGTCCTCCGTCTTCGTGGTCAGATTCCCAGCTTCCCCAAGGCTAGAAGCACCTTTAATATCTGTGCACCTCCCTAGCCAATGTCCTGCGTGGGTGAAGCGCTCACCCCACTGGTCAGACGCCATTTAGGAGCGGCTATAGGCTGGGAATTTAGATAATCGGCATTTAAAAAAATTAATCAGGCCCTCGCGGGGTACCTCAGTTGGTTAGAAAGTTGTCCCGACACACCAAGGTTGTGGGTTCGACCCCCAGTCAGGGCACATACAAGAAGCAACCAATGAATGCATAAATAAATAAGTAGAACAACAAATTGATATTTCTCTCTGTCATCTCTCTCCCTCTATAAAATCAATACATTTTAAAAAAAATTTAATCAGAATCTGTCCTTGTGTTTTTATCTTTTGAGGTCAAACCCTAAGGGGCTGTAAACAAACCGGAGTGTATGTGAATGTGTATAGCCACAGGCACGATGCAGTTTTGGTTTCCACATATTTGTTATTTATTGCAGTTGCAGTACAGGTTATAGAGTAATAGAGTAAATCTCTATGAAGTCATCTGGGCCTTTGGTTTTAAACTTTGTATGGGGTAGAGAGTCAAAAATACCCTGGAGCCCACTGACCCCTGGTTAATAATGTCTAATCTAATGCAACCATATCATTTACAGATCTAAAGAAACAGAAGATGCCCTAGCAGGTTTGGCTCAGTGGATAGAGCGTTGGCCTGCAGACTGAAGGGTCCAGGGTTCGATTCTTTCCGGTCAAGGGTACATGCCTGGGTTTCGGGCTCGATCCCCATGGGGGGGGGGGGGGCTGCAGGAGGCAGCCAAGCAATGATTCTCTCTCATCATTGATGTTTCTATCTCTCTCTCCCTCTCCTTTCCTCTTTGAAATCAATAAAAATATATTTTAAAAAAGAAACAGAAGAGTAAGTCATCCAACCAGTTAGTGCACTACACCATGTGTTGCTTCCTATTGAATATTCTTTCAAAGATTCAAATAGAAATTGACATACTAGTAAGTACCCAATAAGTGGTAGACATTGTTCTAGGCCAGGGGTGGGCAAACTTTTTGACTCGAGGGCCACAATGGGTTCTTAAACTGGACCGGAGGGCCGGAACAAAAGCATGGATGGAGTGTTTGTGTGAACTAATATAAATTCAAAGTAAACATCATTACATAAAAGGGTACGGTCTTTTTTTTCAATAGTTTTATTCATTTCAAACGGCCGGATCCGGCCCGCGGGCCATAGTTTGCCCAGGCACTAGTTCGCTTACAAAGAAGACTAAAACAATGCCATATCACCAGCAGAGTATCCAGTTGTAAAAGAGGATATAAGATATTAAATAATCCTGTATAATGGAAGGCTAATATGCAAACTGTCCCCTTGGGAGTTCAACTGACTGGGAGTTCGACTGACCAGGAGGCCGACCGCTCGCTATGATGTGCACTGACCACCAGGAAGCGGCACAAAACAAAGGAAGGCCCTGATTGCTAGCCAGGCCTAGGGACCCTACCCGTGCACGAATTTCATGCACTGGGCCTCTAGTTAACTACAATAATGTGGTTAAGTGCTGAAACAGAAAAGTGATAAGTGTAATGAATGACAAACTCTTTCACAATTCCCTTTCCCTCCCATACCGAGTGGGAACAGGCAGATATGTTCTGGTTAATAGGAAACTTCCTACTAAAGGATGGGACCTGAACCAATGGGATCCAAGATCGTATTCTATAATGGCTGACTTCACCTACCAAAAGTCACTCTGGAAATGCCTTCATTACAGGGCATGTTGCTGCTGCAAAACTAATATAGTTTCTTTGGGAGGAAATAAAGTCCCCACTCTTGGAAACCTTATGGTCTGTTTAGGAAAGACATTATGCCTCTCATAAGAGAGCCCCTGATTTAACAGGAGAGTTATTTCCATGTGGATACCCCACTCAAAGAGAAGAGGTAGGTTAAGGAGCATGCCTAGGCCCAATCTAGGAGAGCTGTCAAACATTGGAAATTTAACGAGATAAAGAATATCATATTCGCCCTGGCCAGTAGTTCAGTGATTAGAGCATTGGTCTGAGCACCAGAGGGTCTTGGGTTCCATTCCCTGTCAAGAGCATGTACCTGGATTGCAAGTTCAATCCCTGGCCCTAGTCAGGGCACATTCAGGAGGCAACAACTATCAATGTGTCTCTGTCACATTGATGTTTCTCTCTCCTCCTCCCTCCTTCCCTTCCACTCTTTCTAAAAACCAATGGAAAAAATATCCTCGTGTAAGGATTAATAAAACAAACAAAGGAATATCATATTTTATAGATCTCCTTCAAGGGAGGATTGAGTGTGGTTGAAAGGAACATTTTGCAAAGTCCCTGGGGTGGCAGTAGGTAAGGGTAAGCTCCTTCCAAGGATTTTACTCAAACAATAGCCCTCCAGCCTGGTCATTGTGGCTCCATGGTTGAGCATCAACCTATGAATCAGGAGGTCACGGTTCAATTCTCAAGGCACATGCCCGGCGTTTCAGGCTCGATGACCAGTAGGGGGCGTGCAGGAGGCAGCTGATCAATTATCCTCTCCCATCATTGACTCTCTCCCTCACCCTCTCTGAAATCAATAAAATATATATATATATATTTTTTAAATAGCTTTTCCAAGGAGGATGGATCACATAGAGCATATGTCTTGCTGACTGGGGTTTGCAAGTACCCCTACTGCAACTCATGGTCCACCTTTGCCCTTTCTCCATGCAGCACTCTCTACCTCTCTAAAAAGACATTGAACAAATGTCTCAAAAATACTCTGGAGCGTCGGCCTGTGGACTGAAGGGTCCCACGTTCGATTTCAGTCAAAGGCACATGCCTGCAGTTGTGGGTGTACGGGAGTCAGCCAATCAGTGATTCTCATCATTGATGTTTCTCTCTCTCTCTCCCTCTCCCTTCCTCTCTGAAATCAATAAAAATATTTTTTTAATGCTCTTTGGAACTTGGTTATAAAGATTAATTTTATCATTGTTCTATATATTACCTATGCATTTTTTATTTTGTATGCTATATTTCACAATAAAACAAAGTGAATGTTGCCTTCTTTTAAATAATTGCAAATTGTTTACAATCTATAAATTATATTGGAGGAAAAGAAATGCTGTAATAAATTCAACATAATTCTTGTGACCTACTCTGAAAAACCAAAAAACACCAAATTTCTGAAATTATTAGAATAACTGCTAAGGCTTACAAAAGAAGATCATTTTGAAATAACATCCATATGTCTCAGTTCAGCCTTAAGGGAATTCATTTATCCCAGGTTACCTAATGATTGAGTAGCAAAACTAGAACTAAGAATAAATTATGACATAATCTTCACCTTGGAAGATATATTCTGCAGATATTAACCTGACCTAATTTGATATGTTTCAAATAGATCCTGGAGATGAGAACTTTTCTTGTGTTTTTATTTTAATTTGGTATTTTGTATCTGAAATGATTGATTGCCACATTCCATGTTTTTATGATGAAGAAAAAGAGGCTCAAGTTAAACAATAATCTGAGAGACTTAAAATTTTACTCATTATTTTGGAGACTTGATAATCAATGACTAACTGAGGAACATGATTTTTCAAAATCTCTGTTGACTAAAGATAAGGCTACAAGCCACAGCAGGCACAAAGACTAGTACATTCATAAGGGTGTACTTTTCCCTTTGCTTGAACTACTTCTAATACCTAAGAATATTCATATGGGCAGTCCAAACTGTGTGTATTAGAAAATTAGTTTCATGGGATGCTACATAGATGTTATCCGAAAAAAACTGTTCCAGGTCCAAATAAGTTTAGGAAACACTAGTCAAAATCAAGTTGAACTGCTTGCTTTACTTCTCAGAGCATTTGATATGGTAAATGTGATTTGCTAATATTGAAGGGAATGCACTATATAAGTATGCAGCTTTCCCCCAAGGAAACTTAATTCTCCCAGAAGGCTTCTCTACAGGGTTAATGTTTCTTTGATCACCCATCTATAAAGTTCTATTACAGGGTTTT